ACTACGACTACGACTACGACTACGACTACGACTACGACTACGACTACTACTACTACTACTACTACTACTACTCCTGCTGCTACTACTGCTACTACTACTACTACTACTACTACTACTACTACTTGCTACTACTACTACTACTGCTGCTGCTGCTGCTGCTGCTACTACTACTACTACTACTACTACTACTGCTACAGTGCTACTACTATTGCTACTACTAGTATCACTGCTGCTGCTGCTGCTGCTGCTACTACTATACTAGGACGAAAACTGCTACTGCTACTGCTGCTGCTACTACTACTACTACTACTACTACTACTACTACTACTCGAGGATGGCAGCTCCACGTCACAGGACGCTGCGGCTGACTCTGCAGCAGCTCGCAGCCATGACAACGCTTTTGCCAATGCATGGTGATCGCTATCTGAAGAAACGAAGGATAAGGGTTCGTGACTCGCAGCGGTTGCATGCTTTACAACAATTTGAACGCGCCAGTTCTAGTACCGAATGTACTACGATCACTATGATGGTGATGAATGGCGTGCAAGCGCATCGGACGCATCTCTATTTGTCCTTTTGCAAGTAGGCTCTGCTATAGATCCACGACGAACCTTGATAGACATGGTCAGGAGCCTCTAGGTTATAGGCCACAGCTCCATTCCGATGCCGCAAGATGCGGCTGGCACGCAGAGGTAGCCCCAGAGGAACCGCAAGCACTGAAAGAAGACAATCCAAGTCAACCATGAGGTTCGATGCTGCATATGCAACTGTTGTTGAATATGTGGGAAGTGCTCTTCCACGGCATCCATGCGCTCCTCCATATCTTGCTCGACACGGGTAATGTGCATGTTGAGATTCAAGAACGTGTTAAAGGTGCGTTCTTCCATGCTTGCGATAGATGTGAAAGCCTCCTCCAGGCGCGACCAAATGGCAAACACCCATAATCTCAAGTAAGCGAGGTAGCTTTGGAAGCTGCCCAGCAAAGACACCAATGCCCGCGTGTTGGTGACATCCATGCAGCAAAGTGCCCTCGACTCCTACAAATTCGGATGGAAAGGTTTTCGGAGTATGCTCATAGACAGTAATGTGCAATAATACTGCGACAAAAGGCCCTGTAAGCGTGTTGCCTGGCTGAACGCGAGATCCAGAAATCATGGCTATAGAATCGATACCAGGTGAAAGTCCGATCTACTAAGACTGCACCGAAGCCTTAAGCTACTTCTACTTCTGACCTCGGCTCCTGTCTTCACGACATCACCCAATCCCCTAAACCCTAAACCCTAAACCGAAAAGATCTGGCCTGATCGCTTGGCCACGCCGAGGACGACTCGACCCATGTCTCCGCAGATGCCTGGGCCCAGGCGTCACCTAAAACCCTAAACCCTAAAACCCTAAACCCTAAAACCCTAAACCCTAAGCCCCTAAGCCCCTTAGCCCTAAACCCCTAAGCCCCTAAAGCCCTAAGCCCCTAAACCCTAAGTCGAACCCCTTAGAGGAGCCCTACTTTGTAGAACCAGGATAGAACCAGGAGCCCTAAACCCTAAACCCCAAACCCCAAACCTCAAGCCCCAAACCCTAAAGCCCTAAACCCCTAAACCCCTAAACCCTAATATAGAACCAGGGGGTTTCAGTAAGAGCGGGGTTCTTCATGTTGGTAGTTACTAGTTTTAAAGTTGAACATTGAACATTTCAGATTCCACTTGGGATCCTATATAGTGGCTGGTTACGGAGCATAGGTTCTAGCAAAAGACGCCGGTTCAATAGGTTTCTTCTGGTGACACCGAAGTCTCTGAAACGATTGCACGGAAAGCAACGGGAATGCGAGTAGCGGGGCTTGGGGTTGAGTCGGGAGGAGTATCGTGGTTGAGGACTAATGCTGAGCTTGGTTATGTAGGCTGTTGGACTTCTAGAAGTGCTTAGGGCCCGGATATAGAACGATGAGTCGCTTGTAGGAAATTCAGTGGCAATGCCTATACAAGGACCAAAACCACGAGACTCCAATATTCCTTATTTAAGGACCATACCTTAAATTATATAATAGGATTCCGAATATGATTTACAGTATATTCCTTAATTATAAGGGATATTGGAGTCTCTGAGAACTCTGTGTGCGTAGCGACCATCTCCTCGAAACTGGGTTGGGCTGAATTAGCTTGCTGGCCTTGACCCCACACACTGTCCCTCAGGCTTTTTTATCGCGAGATGAAACAGCAAGCGCGGGCTTCTTTAGCCAGCCAGAAAATCGATCACTGGCTGGAGGTTCGCCATTTCCAACCACCTTTTGTTTGTCTCCGTGCAAGTGTTTGCAGGCTCCCTAGTCGAGCGCTTCCGGGCCTTCTTGAGAAACTTCTGGGCTTGCTCACGTACCGCCCTGCTGTGGACTGTCCGGGTTTTCGCCAGCGCTACACCAAACCTTGGTTGACAAAACCCACTATACAACCCGAAAACTATACAGAACCTTTACGAAAACTACAGAACCTTTCATGCACTCCAGCTACGGGCGCAACTGCACAACAGCCGAGCAACCCATCTGGATATGCCTGGGTCGCCTTGAGATCACGCCCACCCCGAGTGCTCACATTACCGTTAGCTCCCTGGTACCTGACATAGGTCTGTGGCCGCTCTTGTTGCGAACTCTGCCCCGAGGATTGAAAGTGGACCAAGTCATCCACTGCCCGGTGGCCTGCAGAGGTTTCGAGGCATGCGTTGCTCCCTTGTTTTGGGTTCTTAGTGCTGGGCTCAGGGACACTTTTGAGAATGTAGATTGAGGATAAAGAACTTGTTCTGAGGAGTTTGGGTTCATGCCGTTTATGCCCCGGAGCAATGCTTTCCTCTACCCGTGGGGAAGAATTACCGTTCGGACCCCTGAAAACGAAGAACCAGCCCCTAAACCCTAAACCCGACTGTATGGGTAGAGCAGGCAAAAGAAAGCCAACGTCAGGCGAGAGTCTCGAGTAGAGGATGGTGGGCTTCGGGGATGCGCCACCGTAGTTTTGCATGTAGATTGTTTTTTTCACGAGATGCACCATGCCAAGCACTTCTTGGAAGCAGGGGTGATGCTCCATAATGCTCGAAGCCGGCTGCTCGAGAAGCCAAAATATGCCTTTGGCTGAGGCAAGCAACATGAGAATCAGCACACGAGCTGTCATGATGTTCCCATTCTGTACTCCTTCACTGTCACATCGGCCCAACGGCCTAGCTTTTGTTCGACATGTACTCCCACGGCTCATAAACACCCAGGAGCTGCACACAGGAGCTGACAAGCAGCCGGATCCAGGTTTTAGATTGCAAATCTGGAACATCGCATTGGCAAAGCCGGAGCTGCTAAGTATGTCCATGTTCTTAGCATCCAATTTGATCTCAAACGGTACAGCCCTACGTCCTTCAGCCCACTCCCCTTTTGTGACGGACATTTTCCCTGCGAAAAGCTCCACATGGTCTGTCGGGTTGTCCCAGCAAAGACCATCTATAGAAAAAAGGAGAGCAGCCATCATTGCAATCACCTAGCGTGCACGGACAAAACATTACACAGGGTTCAACGGTGGGATAAGACTTCTCATTCTATCATCAGCAGAGTTGCAGAGGGAGCCTTCAAAGCTCGGAGTCCATCCATAATCCATTGTCGCTGCTTCTGCTTCATAGAAGCAGCTTCTGCAGGCATGGTGATTCCATGGTCGTCGAAAGGCCATGTCGGTGGGCTTCGCCCATGGCCATCTTCATGTTTGCGCTTCATCATCCATGCACACTTAATTACGTTACATCACAAGTGTGCCATGTGGGGTTGGGGTCCACGGACTCCATGCATTGAAGGGGTTGAACCGTTCATGGTCTGGCTTGGTTGTATAGGGGTGAGCGTTTCGATCAGGTTGAGGATTGAGGCTAAAAACACACTGTCAAAAGCTTGATTCCGGATCCAGGGCTCTAGGCTTTAGGCTTTAGGGCTTAGGGTTTAGGGTTTAGGGTGAGGCTCTAGGGTGCAAGGGGATACACGTTTTAGGGTTTAGGGATTAGGGTTGATAAGTTGCAGAGATCACCAGGCCCTGAAAATTTTGGCCGAGGGATTATGAAGCAAGCTTCAAGGAGGACTATCAAAAATGATACCACAATGTTGCACTTCTTACCATCGCCGTGTGGGGTTTAGGGTTACGGGAAAAAGGCCCTTAAACCCTAAACCTCAAAGCGTTCCTCATTTGCTCAGAAGCAAAGCCGAAACCACGAACCCGATCCCAAAACGGATGCCCATTCTTTTCCAAAAGTAGATCCTACTCCATAACTGCAAAAGCCAATGCCCAAACCACGAACTTGATCCCAAAACGGATGCTCATTCTGTCCAAAACTAGATCCTACTTGGAGGCCCAGGGAACTTAGTAAGTCGGTTATAAGTAGGGTTAGAATTAAGGTAACTCCATAGATAGGGTACTTATAACTATATTCATATTCCACTTATACTAAGTCTCCTGGGCCTCCAAGTATTCCGTAACTGCAACATAAGCTGAATCCCAACCCTGTCACTAATGATGAGACAAGCACCGTTGACTCGAGCAGTCGCGACAGGAATGGGATGGTTCCCAATCAGCTTGAAGGCCTGCACCGGTACCTGCGTGTTTTGGGTTCGGGGCTTAGGGTCGTAGGTTTAAGGGTTTAAGGTTTAGAGTTTTAGGATGAGGTGTGTAGGGCTTAAGGTCTATACAGGGTGTAGGGCTTGACTCTTAGCTCTGAAGCCAGTCGCCCTCCAGAGTAAGTGCTGCAAGCCCTCACTCTTGGTCCTCATGCTTCAAGCAACAGCTCACGAAAGCGCTGCATGTCAACGCTACTGTTCGAAAGCACATGCAGGGAAACGTAGCTTGGATGCTGGGTTCCGCACGTAAAGAAGAGTCCTTGTCTGACCTGACAGCCCAGAGATAGGGATTCGGGGTGCACGGACAAAGGGCAAACACAAGCTCCTGCAACACTTGGTCCACTGACTCCACTTTTTTCGGCCGATGGTCGCTTCAGGTTCAGGTGCCACACTGAAATAACCGCATCTACTTGCTGTGCATGTAGCCTAAAGCAAAACTGCAGTTAGCCCATGTGGCCAAACAGAAATCCAGTGGTTCCCAGCCACTGTTTAAATCGACATCAATGTGATGAGCCCTACGGTTCGCACTACTTCTACACAGTGGAACTTCACCAGTTCGCCCGACTCTTAGCGACTTTCCATGCAGCGACGGGCCCATCGTACAAGCTCCATGTAACCTGTCCTTTGCGCAGGCTGCCTGAGGGCTCCGCCTCGGTGCCGAAACGTTTCACAACGAAGGCTTTCGTGCGAAGAAGAACTTCGATCGCCTCAGCTGGATGAAGATAGGTTTTATTCTATCTCGGTTTAGGGATTTCAGGGTTTAGGGGTTTTGGGGGTTCTAGGGGTTTTAGGGTTTAGGGGTTTTCGGGGTTTTAGGGCTAGGGGTTTTAGGGGTTTTAGGGGTTATAGGGATTTTATAGGGTTTATAGGGAAACTATAGTTAAAAAGCAGCGTAGCAAGAGCCCCTGTGTGCTTCACTAACGTGATCTACTTTCCTAGCCCTGTGCCTATCCTCAAAGTAGGGTGTGGGACTCGGGATTGGGGGGTACTTAGAGGCCCAGGGGACTTAGTAAGTAGGTTATAAGTAGAGCTATAAGTACCCTAAATGGAGAAACCGCCATTATAACTCTACTTATAACCGACTTACTAAGTCCCCTGGGCCTCTAAGTAGGGTCTAGGAATTGGTGAGTCGTGTAGAATTTGAAGCATGATAATGTGTTGAGCTTACGGCTCCGAGGCTGTGAGAACAGTGCGCACGGCCTTGTTTGCACCCCAGCATGCAAGCTTACAAGCTGAGAGACGTACGTCGAAGATCATGACAGCTGTAGTGTGTATGGGTCTAAGTTGTAAGCTAGGACCCCTGCACACAGGAGCATGCTATGACGTCCGTTACAATACAGCTTAGCTCTTTAGGGTTAGGGTTTAGGCTGAAGTAAAGTTATAATTCTATAATTGATATAACCACTTTAACCCACTATAGTTTCCTTGAAACTGTCACTAATAATTATGTACATTCAAGTAGCTGCACCAGAATCGGACCAGACCGTGTACCCCCACCTGCCGTTGTAGACGCCGTCACGGCTGGGCCACGCTTCCTTCGGGATGTTGAGCTCCTTCAAATTGAAGAGATGAAACTTGCTCATCTTCGACTCGTCATCGCCTGCAGGAACATGCCGGGCATCCCTGGCTTTCTTCTTGCTGATCTTTGGCTCCTCTTCGCGGGGCGCATCCCTGGCTTTCTTCTTGATGATCTTCGGCTCCTCTGCGCGGGGCGCATCCATGCCTTTCTTGATCTTCGGGGCTTCTTCGCGTGGCACATGTCCCTGCTTCTTCTCTTTGGACTCCTTGTGCGCCTCCAAACGATCGGCGCAAAATATGACTCACGGGAACCCTGCAAACCGACCTGAAGCAAAATGAGCAATAAATAGCTTTCGTCAATTACAAAACACCTTCTTGGGAAGCGAGAGCGGGGAGGGCGTAACACGGAGCATCTCCTCCACTGGCCCAGCGCCCTTGGGGCGCTTGGACAGTGGCGTCTTCGTCCACTTCGCATCCATGGACTCGCCAGATCGCTTGATGCTCTTATGCTTGTGATGGGTTGGTGTGGGCTCGTCGAAGGCAGCCTCACGGCTTGCGCGATGGCAGTATGAAATGTGCAAGCACGTGCATCTAACTACTGACCGCTGAGTCCTGATATCTCAGTGCCAAACCAATGCCAAAGCGAGATCCAGCTCGGGGGCGGGATCGCTGGAGCTCGAGGCTGCCGACTTGGCACCTCGGGGATGCACTGGAGGATCGTCCTTTACGACCATCCTCGCCACGAACTTGCGGAAGTGCTTGTCCTTGCCAAGGCCCATCTTCACAGAGTCCAAACCATTCTTGTTGATGATGTTGCTGCAGTGCCGAAGGTACTCGTTCTTCAACGCGTGCCTTTGTGCGAAGTTACACACCACCAACCCACGTGAAGCAAACCTTCAACCCTAAAGCCACAAACCCTTGCATGAGAGGGATGCCCGCTCGAAATTCTCTTCGCCCTGGCCAAAGTCTTCTCGCGGAGCTTCTGGAGTTTCGTGTCTTCAACAGCAGCCTCACTGCTGGCGTCGTCGCCAACCAAGTGCGAACCAAGCACCCGGGTCTTTTCGCTGTCTTCGCTCTCCGAAGCAGGCTCGTGATTCCCAGCGTCACTGGCTAGCACGAGGGCCAAGGACTCATCTTCGCCCTCTGGAGCTGGGAACTTTGGCACGTCCAAAGCTTCGCCTTCTTTCAAGGCTTCGGCTTCAGAGTCCTCGCCTCCTTTCAAGGCTTTGGCGTCAAAGTCCTCGGCTTCTTTCCTGGCTTCGGCTTCAGAGTCCACGTCGATGGAGAGTGGGCTCTTGTCCCCATAGGAGAGCTCGCGCTTCGGGTCTGGCAAGTCTGCCTCGATGGGGGCAGGCGGCTCCTCGAACGAGACTGCGCTGTCGGCATCGGCAACTGGATTCCACGAGGGTGGGCTCCTGTCTCCAGGCAGCGGGCTTGGGAAGGCTGCGTCGCTGGAGCCATCCAAGCTCCCATTCCCATTGGGGCTCGGGAGGTCGTCCGTGACTGGGAACTCTGGCAGCTCCTGACATAAGCAACCTATGGACCCCGTCATCTTAAAGCTTCACAGTGTTCTACAGGCCCGATATCCTCGATGACCGGATGGTCGCGAAGCGGAGCTTCACCCATCTCTGCGTCATCGGTCGAGGCTTCGGACTCGCCATCCTCGCAGCCCGAATCGTTGTCGTCATCATTCCCGTTGCCCAGAGCGGCCTGAGCTCCCGGTCCCGACCGGCGAGGGTCGCTCTTCAAGCAGCGCTTTAGTTCTGTGACGCGGGCATGAAGTCCGCGTGGCGACGAGCGCCAGAGGTAGCGCAAAGCGCCGACCAAGGCCTTCAGCTTGACGGCCTCCCGGGAGGCAAACTCGACTCTGAGGTCACCCTCCTGGCCTTTGAAGAGCTTCCGTTCCAAGATGTCATCGGCGTAGAGGAGCACGTCCGTGAGGAAAAAGCCGGATGGCACCTGATACGTTGAAATTGGATATACATTTTTTTTGCTGTTGGCATTCCGCTTCAAGCTAAATAAACAATATGTGAGCTGAGATGCGCGGTCGGGGCATCCCATCACTATCGGCTTCAGCATGTGGTAGTTCTTGGCCACATCCCCGCTCGTCGGGCGGCTGATCTCACTTGAGACGTGAACTAGCGGGCCACCCTTCCAGTTCTCGTCCATGATAACGTTCAGAGCTGGCACCGGGAGGGAGTT